ACAAATGCAGATTTGGGACTTGCTTTTGAGTAAATGCAAGGAATTGTTTAATACTTTTAGAATGACAATCCTTATTGCTTTTTTGATTGAATGCAGGCTAAAGGGACTTCTATCATTTGTGATCAATCCCTAGAGGAAATATTTGATACAATTAGCATGGATGTGAACAGTTTGGCAAGCTATAGGGCAACATTAACAGTGATTTTTTTATATGCAAATATTTAGCAAACTGTCAAGCAGATTTATTAATACACAGAACTGGAGCTGGGAATTCTAGGCACAAGTAATATGGTAGTTCAAGATACATCTTTTGTTGTGTTAGACATGGATGATAGAACAGATTTCAGTGGAATTCTTTTGCTGCTAAAGTTAGAAGCAAAATTTTGTAGATATAAATGTTTTTGAGGTGCAGTTGTTGAGAAAGGGAAAAAAGGTACTTTCTTTAATAGCCTTAAGGATCCCCGTAGCAAAGGAAGACCATTACTGCTCCTTTATTTTAAAAACAAACAAAAAACAAACAAAAAACACCTGGCAGATGTTCTATATGATGAGTGATGTGTTGGCTGCGTATTGCAGTTCTTCAGATTCAGGAGCTGCACTGAATCCCGTCACTGAAATCTATTTTCTGTTTTCTGACAGCTGTTTTTGCCATTTACTTTAAAAACAGATGGGGAAAATGCAAAGAAGAGCTGTCAATTTTATTACCATGTATAATCAGCATCTGTGCAATACATCAGACTCATTGCACAGCTTACACTTTCCTCTCTGTAGTAAAAATTCTTTTGGGAGTTCTTGACAAGCTTCTTACAGACTTTTTGTAAATGAGAAGATGTCGAAATTAAGAGTTTAGATCAATTAAATGCTGAAGCCACTAACTTGACCAAATTTGCTTAATCAAGATGTTATATCCTGACTTTTTGAAAATAAAATGCCGGGTTAATTTACTGCTTGATAATCAAAGTTGCATTTTCTTAAAGAATATGATCCATTTTATTTTTTCTTCACTAAATACTGTTCTTAATCTGCTGCTGACCCCTTAGCAATCCAGCCTAATGCATTTGGGTATGTCTATGCAGCAAGCTTGGTGTATTGTACCCCATCTGCATAATTTAAAATAAAAATGCTTCTATAGAGAACTAGGTCTTCTTCATTCCCAACCTACCCCCTTTCCTAATGCAGAAGTCTTTCATAGACGTGACATTTTGTAATGGGAAAATAAGCTAGTTTAAAAGTGTCAGTATAAATAAGCATGTTGTCTGTCTCTGTAAGTGCGGAAGTAGTAATCGGGAATGGTGTGCTGCTGGCTAATAGGAGAGCGCAGTATCATCCTGGAAAGTGTCAAGTGATTTGCATGTCACCGGGCGCTCTGGGGGACGAGTGGGAAGTCTCCAGCTGCTTGCTGGGGACCGAGTTTGTTTGAATCGGTTAGAAATCACAACTGGAGAAGTGCCTCTTTTTGTTAGAATAGAAGGTGGTTGTACATTACAGTGTCTGCAGTCAAGAGCGGGGGAAAAGCTGTAGAAGAAGAAACTTATACAGTACGTTTCCTAGATAGGCGAAATTAGGGATTAGTCTACAAAAGGCTACCAGTTTGGCAGTGTTAAGAGACAGTAAAACACTTATGTATTGATGCATGACTTCTTTGAAGTGAAACGCTGAAAAGAACAGGAGACTTAATACTTTAAGAGCATTAATTAGTGTTTGTGTGGTGGTGGGCCAAGTACTTCTTACACGATCAGGCAGTGCAAGCTTTGATGAAGTCTGTACTTAACTGTCTTCCTCCATTATCTTATCTTATTAAATATGCTACTAAAATTGACTGTGGCTTTTGAGAAAGAAACCACCAAGGCACTGTTTATGATACACAGATGATCATTTATTAAAAAATAATAACTTCTTGGATGACTTTGAAAGGAGATGTTATGCACAAAATTTAATACAAGTTCCGTGGAAAAATACTGATACTAGCTTTTTATTCTTCTGTAGTATAATGGCACTTCTGGCCATCTCATTTATGAGCACTTGATAGCTGATTTTTTTCAGCAATAGATGACTACAACCTGCTCTTTTCCAAAATTTAAAATGTTTCATTTAATATGAGGAATTAATAAAAAGGAGAGTTTTTAATTAGTGTGAGTTTTATCAGAAGAATGCAAATTTCCTTTAGATATTACTCGATCTTTGCTTTGTGACCCTGGAATATATCTAATTAAATTTTTCATGGAATGGTGGATGCAGATTTGTACTCTATGAAATTCAGCTGATTCTAGGAAGATAAAGCAGAAGATTAGAGGATAACAAAGCCTGCAAACATGAATTTGATTTACTTTCTTTACTGCCGGAATAGGGTATGAAAGATTTTTCTTCTGTATTTATATGATCTTATTTCTCCTTTCTTATATTAATCTAATTTTCTAAAATGCGATGTGTTTTCATGCGTACGCTTTGGTGCGAGTTAATAGAAAACAGTTTACTTAAGCGATCCTACTATAACAAATCCTTTATCCAAAATAGCTTGTAGATTTATCCCAGTACTACACACACTGTCTGTGAGACTGTAAATTTTTCACTAAAAGGAAATGTTAGGTAAAGTTGACCTGGAGTTCATTTTTATATATTCACCAGTGAACTTGTAGTTCATTCTTTAGAACTGCTTGAAAATTACCTTTCCGAAATATGCTGTAGGTCTTTCTCTTTTTTTTCTTTTTCATTTTTTTTTTCTTTTCAGATTTTGGACCTGTATAATTTGTAGACAAACTGTACAGCAGTAAATTAAATCTGCTATTCCATCTTCTCACAACAAATGTCATACATATATAACGTGCTAGTTACTTTAACTTGTGGAATTAATATGTTTGTTAATTAAAAGAGTAAACTGGAAAATGCTTTTAGTTTAAATGTCATACTGTAACACTAGACGTTGTCCTTCTCCAGTTAGCACGCCATATCGTGTCTAGTTAACTGAGGTCATTAGATGCTTAAAGATAGGTGAAGGAGACTGGAGCCCGCCAGCACAGGCTCACACATCTCAGCATCATGAGCTGAAAAACAGTATCTGTAAATGAGGCTTGTGACAGACTCCTGTGGGACCCTTGCCACTGCAATATCTGTCTTTCCCATATACTCCTACCCATTTTTCCCCGATGTGTATCTTTCCAGCAGTTCAAGTCCTCCTCTATAATATTGCCTAATCCTTTCCTGCCCCCTTTCCCCTGCTCCTTTGCACATGCCTTTCGTGTTTCCCTGTGCAAGGGATTTTTTGGCTGGTTTTCAAAGCTACACACCTGATAAATGTCCGGTCCAGCTATCCCTGGAGGTCAGGCAGTCGGTTGCTGCCAAACAGTGTGTGTAATAGCAGTGGATGGGTAACTGCCGTTCCCTTTGTGGCTGGGCTAATTTCATTTCTCAGCACTCCCCGCTGCTATTTGGGTGGAAGCTTAGTATTTGCAGCTTTTACCTCTCCTGGACCTAGCTAGCTGATTAGAAAACTAATGACATGTATGCATCGTCTTTGTTTTCTGAGGAAACTAATGTCAAAATGGAGTAAAAGAGCAGAAAATACTTGGTTTAAATTGATCTAAATTGTTGACCTTTAACTTACTAAGTTTTCACCTACGCAGGTGTTTGCCTTCTACGCCTACCCAAGCGTACAGGAAAAAAGTAGCCTTGTCCCTTCGTAGCCTAGTCTGTACGACGGGTCTCAGGCAAAATGTGTTTCATAGGTCCGAAAGGCTTGGCTAAGGGGAAAAAAAAAAAACATGAAAAAATCTTCAGTTTATGGAAAAAGTTAACAGTCGTGTGCCATGGGAGTCTTTGCAGCGTTTAAAATATACCTGAAAACTGTAGCAAGGTGGCAATATTTTCCTAGTTAAGGACATATTTAAATATGAACCCTGCCTAAAACAGCTGTGATGAAGTGAGATTCTCTGTGTGTCAGGAAGTTTTTTGGAGGCTTTTTTTTTTCTTGGCTTCTTTTTAAACCACTCAAGAACAAATTTCACAAAAGCGAAGCATGGACAGTCTTAAGAGATTTTGAGTATTAAATGCATAAATTAATAGTTTCATTCTTTTATGATTACATAATAGAATATTCTGTGCATTCCTAACTGTTGATATACTGTGTTCTGCGAAGAAGTAGCTTCTACTTAAGATGTATTAATTCTTGAATCTGTTTTAACTCGTTGGCAAACGGGCCATAGTTCTGTATCACCGTAGGTTTCCCACATGCAAAGCTCTGAAACTTTTAAAAATTTTTGGAAAACTGTCTCCAGGGGTAAGTTTGCACTTCGCAATGTGGCAAGTTTCAGTCACAGACACTATACATGTAGAGCAATTGTGGCCAGTAACATAAACTAAATTTGTAAATGAAATACTTGTTTAAAGAAGTTGGAAGTGTGGTTGTGCAGTCCTAGTATTACAGCTTAAAGAAAATGTGCTACCTACTGTATCTAAAGAAATCATCTATACATGTTTAGAAACATAGCATTTGCCTTGCTAGAGGAGGCAACATATGTTATTTGTTCTGTAGAAACATTCCTCTCTGCTTTCTTATGGTTTACATATTTGAGTGATTAACTCACAAAAGACTTGAACAATTTCTAAGTAAACCTTGCTGTAAAAATTACTGTATATCGATCATAAATTGGGAGTCACTTAACACAAGTTCAAATATGAATTTTTAATGACACTTCTAATTTAAATTGCACAAAAATTGTATGTACTCACTCTGAAAATAAGTTTTATTTATATACAAAATGATATTGGACTTTAATTTATAATAGTTCAATCTGTAGGTTAAAAGAACATATTTTCATAATCAGTCTGATTTTTTTAATGAATACTGGAATGAAATGGCCTTGTTTCTCAAGATAAAAATTGTATTAAAGTAGAAAGCAAAAACAGAGTTTTTTGTTAAGGTTTACCTCTTCTAGTTTATTATGACTTTAGGTTGCTCTTTGGCTTAGTTTTTGTATATTTACGCTACTGCTATTCTTTTGTAGACGGTTAGAACAAAATTCAATCAAGGTCATACCTCCTGGAGCTTTCTCACCATACAAAAAGCTTCGAAGAATGTAAGTACACACAATTTTTGGCTTAAATTAAAAAAATATATATATAAACAGGTCAAGGTCATATAAGGAATGTCTATCAATATTTGAGTATTAAGAAAGTTTGATTGCTGGAAGACTGACTGATATGGCAACCTGATTATTGAGACAATAAAATAGCTTTGTCACATTAATAATAATGATTAGCTACCAAATATTGAAATTATTCAATATGTTTATACATAAAGGCAATATATGACTATACTGAACATTAAAAAAGTAATTAATGGGGACATGCCACTGTCATTTTGCAATATATTTAAGGCTATATATGCCTGTGGCCATAGCAAACAAATAATTCTTTATAAAGTGTATTTCAGCAATTAGGAAAAGTAAATCTTTCAGTAATTTTTTCAAGAATATTCAGTCCCTTTTTAACTATGCATTTTGTTTCAGTGTTTTAGTGATTTTATATTTGAATTCTTCAGCTGTCTCACATAAGTATTTTCTCTCTCCTTTCCACACTTAGTTCTTACTACGTATTATCTTAATGGTTGTTATTTTGAAAAAGCTTGAATTAATTGAATCAAATTTCATCTTTTCAGTGACCTGAGCAATAACCAGATCTCTGAAGCAGCTCCAGATGCTTTCCAGGGTTTACGTTCGCTCAACTCACTGTAGGTATTAGTCTGATATGTGAAAAAAGAAGCAAATTTCTCATTTTCTTTTGTTACATTCAAACGATTTTAAATTTTTGAGTCTCTGCAGAATTTTCATTTAAATTCAATCAATTTTGAAAGCTCTAAAGATAATTTCGGGATGTCGGAGTGATAAATGAATATTGTATCGCAGCTGTACACTAAAAATCTCTATTTTCTTACAAATATGTTCATGGCAAATAGTTGAACAAAATCAAACACTTTTATTCCGCAGTTAGTTATTCTTATAAACAGTAACCCACTTATTAATGTCCCTTAGCTAGGCTGTAAACAGAGAGGTGCTGATTTTGCCATGAACTCTTACAGCCACACACTGTTAGCGAAAATCTGTCATCCTGCTACCTCACAGGACCGCAAGGATCTTGCAAGTACCAAGTTATTGTTGTTAAAATCATCCAGGAACAGGGCATTTTCTTACTTTTGTACATTCAAAATCACGTAGTATATGCCTCTCATAATAGCAGCTTTGTTTGCTTTGTTGTTTTCCGCTACAGTGTCCTCTATGGCAATAAAATTACAGAACTTCCAAAGGGCCTGTTTGAAGGACTCTTTTCTCTGCAGTTGCTGTGAGTATTTTTTCATATTTATTCTGTTTTAGGATAAGTGAGAAGGGGAGACTTGATGAAAGGTATATACCTGGAGAAGAACTAGCAGGAAATCCTGTATGCAAGATCGGAGTATAATGAAATATATATATATATGTTCAAGCCAAAGGAGTCAAGACTGTTGTAGGCCAGCTTGCCATTTGTCCACACATTTGATCATATCTTACTTAATGTCTCAGCTTAAAATGAATAAAATGAAACTATTATTTTATAAAGGATTTATAATGATAAAATACATAAGATGCAATACTGTCCTCCCCAGTAAACGCTAAATGGCATGTATAAAGTGCTGTGGGAACCATGGCAGAAATATCTGGATGTGTGCAGAGGAAATTTGTAGTGGAAATACGATGTAATTGTATTTTTCAGTTGTAGCCGTATAAGGACAGAGTTGCAGTACAGTCTCACTGATGATTTTGATGACATTGATGACTGTTCTGCATACAATTCTTTGACTCTGTGAAATTCAGGTACTATTTCTTTTGACAGCTCTGAAATTCCCACATGTAATCTTACAAACCATTTCTATTTAGATTTCATACTGGGAGTAAAGAGGAGTGTCATGGTGATATGTTTATCAGATATTGTCCAGGTTTAGCAAAAAAGGCTGTGCAGTAGTTGTACTCTGTAAAAGAGACTTGTGAAACAGGCCATAAAACACTGGTAGTATTTCTGGAGGAAATTGTCCCAGAATCACTGACTTGTTATTTAAAGACTGGTGCGTTCTGTAAATAAGTTCTTCCCACTTGCTCAGAAGCATTTAATGTCCAGATTTTATAGTGAAGTGATTGGCAAAATGTCTTTTATTAACAACTCATTGAAGAAGCTGGCAAAATAGTAAGTGAATCCAAGGAAAATGTAAGTTCTAGCACCACCTAGAGGTTTAACCTTTGATTTCTTTTTGTCATGGAACAGCATCGTAATGGCGGAGTGGCATGCTTTCCTGTATTCCTCCAGAGAAAATTTAGTTACAATAGCATATTTCATTTTTTTTAAAAAAATAAGAGACATTTTTCAACTTCTGTAAAAAAAAAATCTGTAGTTTCGTCTATTTTGCAGGGACAATATTTTTCAATATCAGAGAAAAACTAGTTTTACTTGATGAAACTATGTTTGTCAGAGCATTAGATATCAAATCCACCATTGCATCTAACTGGAAATGGGAAAAGCTGAAAATATTTGGTCAGAAGAATCCAACCTATTGAATGATAATACTATTTTCTCTTTGTTTTTAAAAGCATAAAGGAGTTGGTTTGTTTGTTTCAGTTTTAGAAGTTTGGTGGTATAGGAAAGAAAAGGTTCCCCTTGAAGATGTAGAGGAAAAGGTATCCAAGACAGATTTGGATATATTCCATGCCGCCAGTTTTTACTACAACTCTGTTAATGCAGCAGCATGCTGATTAGTAACATATAATTAAAAGTGCCACTGCACATCTCTTCCAGCTAATGAACACAGTGTTCAGTTCCTTGTTTGTTTGTTTGTTTATTTGGCAAAGGGAATTATTTTTCTTTGCAGATACTTGATTTTTTAAGCTTGTTTCTTTGCACAGACAAATACCACACACATACGTTCTACCAACACACACAAGGAGAGTGCATAAACCTGAACAAGCCTGTGCATCTCTGCTTCACAGTGTAAATACTTCAGAATAATTTCAGAGCACCTAAATAAAGTATTTCGATTCACTAAAATGCTTTGTGTCACTGTAAATTAAGATTTGTTACTACATCTCTTGCTCTGGCTACAAATGAGCGTGAAGAATTATCTGTGAAAAATGCTGAATGAAGCCGCAGTGACACTAAACGAATTCTTTTAATTTTATAATTGTCTTCCATTAAACAGATTATTAAATGCCAACAAGATCAATTGCCTGCGAGTTGATGCTTTTCAAGATCTGCACAACTTGAATCTCCTTTCTTTGTATGATAACAAGCTTCAGACCATTGCAAAAGGCACCTTCTCACCCCTACGTGCCATTCAGACTCTGTATGTATGCTCTTGTTTATGGTTTTATTTAGTATGACTTTGCGTGCTATAATTTACTAAAAGTCTCAAGAGCCACGGAAACCAAAAGCAAATAATGTGTGGAATTATCATTTTTTTCTTCATTGAAAGGCATTTGGCTCAGAACCCATTTATCTGTGACTGCCATCTGAAGTGGCTGGGGGGGGGTTTCCATACAAACCCCATTGAGACTAGCGGTGCCCGTTGCACCAGCCCCCGCCGTCTGGCAAACAAAAGGATCGGCCAGATCAAAAGCAAGAAATTCCGCTGCTCAGGTAATTTTCTTAGTTCAGCTGGTGTTTTTCTTTTATTGGCAAAAATAGTGGTTATAGAAGTTCTAGTGAAGGCAGCTGGCTCTCTCTGGAATTATTAAATGTTGCACAGTCTTTTAGTCCTTCTGTTGGAGGGGGGGAATCATGGCAGTCATAGACTATTGGATCACGGAACATTACTATAGTTAACACATTTGGCACTATTTCTGAGTAGCATTAAATCTAACAAAAGAAATGTAATATATAATGCTTCAGAATGAAATGCTAACGTTATTTGCTACAAGTATCACCAACATAAATCATTTTGAAAAATTTCCACAAGGCTCTGCAGTACGTGAAAGATCTAAAAATCTCCAGCTAAATATGGAAACACGACATACTCATTTTATACAGGGAGCTTACCTCATACTGAAATTTACTGTTTGCTTTTTCTAATCTTATTCCATTTCCTACTTACATTTCTCTAAATCCTAACTTTTGTCATATGGTATCCAGCTGTTCCAGGTGCATTTCACATTCTACAATTTATTCAGTCTCAAGCGCGAATACCAGATGAGAACTGTTTGTTATCCATGTTCCGGATACATTTATGACTATTCACACTTTGTTGTTTAGCAGCTCTTGTTGTGAATACACGTTTTTTCACTTAATTATCTGTAGTTAACTATAGTCCATACTTAATCTAATAAAACTCATTCTTTGCTTGCTGACATTCAGGTGCATCTTCTATTTTTTTTTTTCTCTTTATTTAGCTAAAGAACAGTATTTCATTCCAGGTAGGTTTGGCTCTGCAGTAAGACTGACTAACTGCAGATACTCTCTCCCTTTCACCCAAAAGCAAAGTTTGTTATAGCTTTTAGGAGACTGATGCATGTATATTAACAACAGTGAATACCTGTAGCTAGACGTAGATATCCTTTGTAGATCACTAGTAATTCTGTTTTCTGAATATAAGAGCTTAGCATGCAGCTCCATTTACGTTTTTGTCTCAAAAATTTGCACACAACCTACCAAAATGACACTTTTATTTAAATTATTTAGAAGGTTGCACCTGCTAGTTCCTATTTCAATTGACACTTTTGCTTACCTTGTACCTTGCCTTTTGTGCCACTACTGTTTTTAAAATGTAGCTCCTGAGCTGCTTTTAAACACAGGAAACCATAGCACCATCAAAGAGCTAGTACAACTTAAAAAAAAAGAAAAAAACCTTTACAAATGAACGTTTCCTTGCCTTGCTTTTGTGTTCTACACTAGCAATTTATTCCTGAATGTCTGCAGCTGCTGCTTGCTCACCCTCCTTGTGTTTGTGAAATCACAATGGGATGCTTGGAAAAAAAAGCTGATATGCTTCATTAAAGGCATTCTGTGGTCAGATTCATACAGTGAATCAGAAATATTTTCCATTAAAGAAAAGATGATTTAAGGGTTGGGGTGAAACAGCAATTTACACACCCAATTTAAGCTATGATAAGTCTGATATGTTCCAAAAAGAATTACTGATGTTGGCCCTAGCTCTTTGAAATATGTTTCTTTACTTATTTTACCTTGCTTGTCAGCTGTGTGCACTGATTTCTTAATTAAGAAATATATGAAGCACTTGCATTATGTTCCTAACAGATTATAAGTAATTGATTGGCAAAATAAACAAGGGCATAATGAATCTATTGATGATTTACAGTATGTGATCTGCAAGCAAGTTTTTCTATCATAGTTTAATATCTAGAAAAATAACTACAATAATTGATTATGACACCAGTGCACTTGTTCTTTCAAGTACTACAGGTATATTGTCATTCTGCAGTGTTTGAAGTACTGATTTATTGATTGGTCTTAGTCTTTGTCTTTTACGCTGGTATGTTTAACAGCTCTTCTCCTAATGCTATGTGATATGTCACTTAAATTTGCAGCAATCGTGAAGTTTTCCATGCCCTCATACTAATATGTTGGTTTGAATATGAAGCAAAGACAAAATGAAATACAAAATGAGGCAATAATTTGCCAGCATTGACAGCCACGGAACTGTGGTTTTTTTAAAGCAGCATAAAACAGAGAGGGATTCAATTTCTCAAACCTGCAGTGCCACTCAATTCCTTAATGAGTAGAACAGCTGTATTCCTGCCACAGAGTGACTTCTACTCAACCTTGCCAGCACAACTTTTGTCTCTGAGCTAGAAGTGTTTTCTTGCCAGTAAATGTCTTCACAGGCTGTTTATAATATGGCCACACATGCAGTTTAAGTTTGTTTACTTACCCTTAAAAAATGGTATTCCTGCGAAAAGAAGAAAAAGAATTAAATTTCTCAAAAAGTGTTGCCAGCTGTATGTCTTGAACTACAGCTTGTGCGCTTTCTCTTTCCATCAGGTAGCAGGGAGATACCGCACTGAATTGTTTTATTTGTAAAAGATCTTGCCCCTGAATATTTTAGTTGTTTACTCTGAACTAATAACAGCAATTTATTCTGGACAGAGAGGGAAAGTAATGTATTTGTGGCCTGCTCCTGGGTATTAAAAAGTGCTAAAAATACTTCTTTACACTTAGGTAAATACTGTAACAATGTTAGCATTTCTTTAAAAAGTCAAATATCAATTTGTTTTACATTTGTTTGAAGTCTGTCACTGAGAGATCTTGATCCACAGATGCTAGGAAATCTTAACAGAATTTCCATATAGTCATTTGGAAGACTAAAGGTTATGCAAGTACTAAATCATGAATTTGAAAAAAATACTGTTTCTCTGCAAGCTCGTGAAAATATTCCAAGGGGTTATATCAAGTGTGTTACTTAGACTTCTGCAGAAGCTAGATAATATACAAAAACTGGATTTTTTTTTCCTTCTCTTAAGGTATCTAGTTTTTTGGTTTATTCATTATTTTAAGTGGCATAGCATGTATATACATTCAAAGGAGCATAATAGTTCTTTAAAGAATATATTTAAAATAATAAATTATAATGTATGGGAAGTATTATCATCCTATATGGAATTTGTAATTAACCCTAATCATTTCTTTAGTTTTTTAATGCCACTTAAAATTAATTATTCTTTCTCTCTGCTAAAGATGGTGCCCCTCCGCAGCATCCTCTAATCACAGTCAAGTTGAGTAGAGAACACAAGAGATTAGTTCATGCTTTTGTCTTAATTGGGATTACTCTGTCTTTCTTTCCTCCTTGGCTATCTTTACTTTTGCAGGAGTTCACCATTTTGGCTGTAAGTAAAGTTCAGTGTCTGAGGTAGATCACAGTGTACTCCCCAGCCCTGATGCACTTCCTACTAGTCTCAGTCTTTTCACCTTTGTCCGAGAAGAACTCGCAGGTCCTTTTGGTTTCTCTTTGTTTTCTTTGTCATCCACCCTCAGTTCCTTACTAGATGTTTTCACCTGATATGTTTAGGCTGTTTTCTTTGACTGACTCTGGGAAACAGTGGAGGAAACTTTCAATGTCGTTCTTTTTTTTTTTTTTTTTTGTACATTTTTAGTTGATCTGTGACAGTAATACTGTTACTGTGGCACTGGACATTCAGTCATAAGAATGCCATGTCATGTAAGCAAGTATTAAACTCAAAATGCTTCTGTAACTTTTTCCTACTCCTTCCTTTTTTCCCTTGCTCTTATCCTTGGCCTAATGGATGCAGTTATGATAATTTAGCGAGATTTTCTGTTGTGCTTGATCTAACCATGTGGTTGTGAGGTATGAGTAAAACATGGTTCTGTCAAGCACCATGGAACGTCACGCAGCTTTCTACAGCATGGCAAGCTGCTGAGGCTTAAGTCAGGATCACACATTTTTTAAATTAAAGCTGAAAGCAGGGCTTTCAACCTTCCGTGTTTGAGATGATGCGGAGGGTCGGGACTATAAAAAAAAAACCCACAGAGGTTGTTGAAGTCCGGTCAACAATACAAATTTGTAACAAGAGGAAAAGAAAAGGTGGCATTCAGGATCTATTTATTCATGACACAGAGAAAGAAAATAAATTCTAAAAGAATCGGTGGCATTTGTGTAATTAGCTATAAACAAGGCTAGATTGGCTGACAACAAAATCAGCAGAAAGTACAGCTGTGAAAAGCTCAAGTTAATGTTATCCTGTTACGTTAAGTTGGTCACAGTTTCTTTCTCCAGCATATCTTAAGCCCCTATATTTAACCCTCTCTTGAAGCCCTTGTGTCTGTTCAATATCACAGAGTTTACCATACGTTTCCCAAGTTGCCTACCCGTTATCTGAATTGCAGACATCTTTTCAACGTTCTTGCAAGAAAAAAATCTTATACTGTATTGACTCAGTGTTTGTATTTTGACTTGACTCTTCTGCAGGCACTGAAGATTACAGATCCAAATTAAGTGGAGACTGCTTTGCGGATTTGGCTTGCCCTGAAAAATGTCGCTGTGAAGGGACCACAGTGGACTGCTCCAATCAGAAACTCAACAAAATTCCTGATCACATTCCCCAGTACACAGCAGAGTTGTAAGTTGAACCCATAAGAAAGCATTATTATGGGAAAAACTAACTAAAATTTTCTAATTAAAAAATGATAGTTTTTATTGTTGGAACAACACAAAAATAAAGATAACTTCATCATTCTGTGTTGTCCTTCAAAGAATTAGATATTAATACAGATTATTTACACGTCATTTCAGTACAATGTAGCCTTAACAAGTTATGCTGTATAAATGAGGTAACTGTTCTGTGCTCCAAGGTCTCTAGTATTCGCACTGGGAATTTTTTTGAGAGATAGTGTGGTTTATTTTGCTTTTTTGTTTTAACTAGAAGAGCAAGTAAGACGGGCATCAGTAACTCAGGCTCTGTCTTAAAATGTGCTGCCTAGGTATTGAACAAAACAGAAGTGAGTCTTGTTACGCAAAGCTCACATTATATGTGTCAGACGGAAGACCAGAGGAAGATAAAGCAGACAAACAAGAAGGAGTTGGGTTAAGAAGATGAGATAATAATATAATGAACAGAGACGAGCAGAAAAGAAGCCACAGATTGTTACTTGCTTAATCAGTGCCGTATGGGAATGATTTGTAGGCATTACAACTGAAGTAGTCTTCAAGGAGGGACTGAAAGGAGGATAAAATTAAGACAGCTTTACAAGTTTTTCCCATGTGCTAGAAACAATGTGGAAGGGGGTGCAGAGATGCTGGAGGGATCAGCAGAAAGGCAGGAGATGAAAGTGGTCATCATTGGCAGAGCAAAGGCAATAGGAAATAGCTGTTTTTTGCTGTAGATTTACTATAAAGAGCAAGACAGAATGCTGAGGAGCAAAAGTGAGGGACCTTGATTTGATGCAGTAAAGCAGGGACAGCCATCAAGAAATACAGAGACAAAAGTTTTGTGGTCAAAGTTGTGACCCACAGGGGTGAGATGAGCAACAGTATGTCAAATGCTCTTAAAAGGTAACCAATCTACAGCTGGCATCGCAGCAACACTGCAGCCGTGCAGGTATGAAGTGATGAGACCATGGTTAAGGATCTTGAATGTCTGAACAGAGAAGGAATTTGACATGGAAATATTGTGTAAATAGAGATGGGGATTTCTATCTGTCTCTGAGCTGCGAGAAAGAGCGGGACTCAATAATGTTCTAAGTGCAAACCTGAGTGGCAATTCTGGTGGTGCCTAGAATGATGACTCAGGAGAGGAAATGGCATATGTGGGAAAAGCAAAGCTCAGCTTTTGGCCACATTTAAGCTGCTGATTTACCATTTGTAAAGTGCTATTGGAGAAAAAAAGACTGATACGTGGACTTGGGTAGAGAGAGATAGGTTTCAGTGGAGAAATATTTATGTGTAATTTTTTCATATAGCATTTCCTGGAGGTGCAATACAGACAGTGAAGAGCCAAAAGGGAGAGAAGAAGGAGAGAATTTTAAGAGCATCCACAGGAAAACAGAAAATACTCCTCAAATGTATATAAAGTTGTGCTATAATATTTTGGGAGAAAATTACTTCAGTTGAAGAAAGAAAATTGATGGAATGGGTAGCAGGTTAAACTGTAAGAGGAGAACATTAAGTGATGGTTATAAAAGTCATAATTACTGAACCAAGAGATGAGGAGTGGAGTTGTTGAAGTGCATTTTGTTGGTTCTTAGCAGGATCTGTGTTTAGTTCTGTCTGCTCTGAACAAATAACAGATCTCTCTCTACAAAGGCTTTTTGGCTGTGAACTAGTGGAATTCCTGATTGCCAGAGGACGTTACATAGGAAGAACAACGTGTAGTTAAATGTATGGCCTAGCAGTATGGCTTACTTTAGTTTAGTTAGCTAATGTTTTTCTTTCAGGAAAGTACTTTTGTTTAGGTCTGATAACTAGAGGGCTATGTTCTGGGAGTCAGTTCATCTTCACATCTTCTTAAACACTTTAAATTTTGAAAAACGTGGAGATTGAGGGATCCAGTGCACGCCACAGCCATAACGCTTCCTCTTCTTTCTTCCAGTCCTCTTATCCTTCATGAATTGCCTTTCTAGCTCCTCTTGAGACTTCACATTCCAGTTCTAGGTCCGCTCTGTGATTTCTAGTTCACAACATTTTTTGTGTATACCAAAAGAGCAGGCATTTAGCCTTTTTATTTTTCTTATACCCATCAAATCTGAGCTAGAGATACTTGTTAGAGGTAAATGACATTTCTACTTCTCTAACAGTGAAGAGGAAGACACTCTTAGAGAAATGACTAGATTATTCTCTGCAGGGTATAGTTTGGAGCTGAGGCTCAGTTTGGAAACAAAGATCAAAAGTGAAGAAATGTCTAATTTTCTCTAGAGTTCTCAGAAGATTGCTCCTTTTTGTCAGATAGTTTGTTTGGAGCCCTCTGATACTTTTAAGTCCAGGGGTATGGGAGAAGAAAGGAGGGCAGGGAAAGAACCTGACTTCTACTCATCCTTTAGCCCAGAAGGTTTTGGAAGAAACAAGAATCCTGTAATCTCTGAGAGAGTTTATACTGTGGATCCACTGGGGCTTGGCTTACTCTCGGTAGAGAGATGTAAGGGGGAAAAATAAATGTTTTCTTAGTCTGATAGAAGAACATAATGCAGCTTCATTGGCAACATCTTAATGTATGGTAAGTAACATACAAGTTAATAGAATAAAGATGGGGGACTGCTTTTATCTCATCACTCTGGGGCTGATACATCTAGTGAAAAATACTATACCAATCTTCTTCAGTTCAAGAAAGTGTGTAATGACACTTTTAAATCTACTTTTAAAAAGTCTTCTTAAAAATAATTTATCACTGTACTCATACGACCTAGCAACTTTACTGTTTTAACTTACTAACAAGCAGAAGGTAACAACAAAATCATTTTTTTGCAAGGAGTTTGAAGAGGTGTTTTTTCTAACCAGAATTTCTCCCATTTGCTTACGTGGCCGTATGACTTGGTGGTGTTCTAGTTATTTCTCTCTTGGCACTTGCTCCCAAAGTCCTCCAGAAAAACAGTCAAAGATCTGTCTAATCTGCCACTGAATTATTTGAAATAAAGTACAAATCTGTAAAAACTTTCTAGGAATAAAACATTTTGCAGATAGCATACCAGTGAATGATGAAACCAGTGAAACATTTGACAAAACACTCAAACCAGGGTCTCCAGAAGAAATTCTAAATAAAAACAATTTCATTTCTATATATTGTTATTTGTAATACTTACTCAATATTAAAATAACGGATCCTAACAAGATGGTCATCAAAAGGATGAAGTACCACAGGATATCACTGCAGTACATAGCCTTCCAGGAACGGTCAGCTATTGTACAAAAATGTGCAACTAACTTCGCTATTGTGTTAACAAAACAAGAAAAAGCATCAAACAGAGAAACTGAAAAACAGAACATTTGGACGTCATCATCAAATGCTGCTTTGTTTATTTTTCTGCTTTGAGAATGGCATGGCAATATTCTATTTTGAATAAACCACATATAGATATTTTTGAGATTCCTTTCATGATCTAGCGATTCATTAGCAGGTAGCAATTGTCATTATTACCTTTACCAGTAAAGACCACTGAGCTCACAAAGTAATATTAAGATCCAGAAGGAAAATACTACCTCATGTGGTCATTTTCCAGTTATCTGTAATAGTTTTGCTTCTTGTGCATGTGGTATTACTTACCATGATAATAGAAAGAAAACTTCTTGCATAAATATTTAACAAGTCTAAGTCTGAAATAACTGTTTAGCTCCAATCGTAGGAATGCCATGTGATCCTTGAGGTCATTTTTCAGTTAACCGAAATCTGTAGTTTGTAATCCTTCCATCCCTTAGTTTGCTAATCTCCCTTCACTGATGATACATGCATTATGGCATTACCATACATGCAAATTTAGAGAGCAGATGTGATATGTGTTACGGTTTTAACAATGACAATACAGTTATTCAAGCCATGCTTCTTTGTTTTCACAGGAAGCATGCAGTAACTTATCAAGTACCAAAAGCCTTCAAATCACATGGACGATTCTTAAAATTGTTCTATAATATCAAAATTAGCCTAAGACTGGTTTAAATATAATAAAAATGTAAATTCTACATACTACATTAGATAGGACTAATTAACAGCACAAATACAAGATGAGGAAAAACTGGACAGAAAAGGCTATGGTATTATTATTATATATGTTGAAGGTGGAGATATACCAAAAGCTACAAACTTTAGTTTGGGATGTATTTACAGGAGAGTAGTATGTAAAGCATGTGAAGTAATCACTTTACTGAATACAACAGTAGGAAAGTGTTGGCTGGAGTACTGCATTGAGGACTTCATCTTTCAAGATGAATATGGACCAATTGGGAAGTCTTAGGGAGAAGAAGAATTATCTAGAAAATAATACTTATGAGGAAAAATTGACAGGATTATGTAGAGAAGGAAACTTGAGGGGGAGACATTAACTTATTTTTGATATGCAAAAGGTTGTTGCAAAGAGGAAAGGAATAGTTTTTCTTTTCCAATGGGGATAGAAATGTTTGCAGTAGTATACAGCAAGAAAGAATTACTAGGATCAGTAAGTAGTTTCACAAACAAGTCGTTCTACCTGATGATATAGTACTTCAAAAGTATTCAAAAATGCCAGCATTTGGAGAATGTTTGGTATTTACATTGTTCATGCACGGAAAAAAAGCTATTTACAAGGATAATGCAACTGTGTTAATTGACACCATTCAAAAATGCATTTGGTATGATCCCACTAAAAATCACATTATATCAACCAGCTGATTTTCAAAGGTTGTAACATTTTTTGAAATTCATGTCCTGTGTAGTTCCGGAGCTTTGTACTTCCTACCAATGTTCCACGTACATCCAAAAGCTCTTTCTGTCTTCCCTCAGCTGCTGAAACTGCCATACTTTCAGATTTACAGCCTTAATTTCCCTTCTGGCTATTATTGAGTGCGAGCAGGAAGGAAGGATGAACAAGCAGCTTTCATTTATTTTTTAGCTTTTTAAAATCTGTTCTTGCAACAAGGTGATTCTGAAAAGCATTTTGGCTTTAGAATTATGGTGATTTCCATTTCATGGTGATCCTGCCAGTCAAGATGGCTAAATAAAAACTAGACAGGCTCCCTCCTTTAATAAAATGGGGCCATTAAAACATACAAAAGAGTCCAAGACTTACAATTTCCGTTTTCTTTTTAAAGAAAGTAAATAGGGAACACTAGGGCAGTGCACGTATTTTTGAAATGTAGGCAACCCCTGGCCTAGCAGCTGGTAAAGATACACTGTGCTAGAACAGTCTTGATACCAGGGCAGGAAAGATTAGTATCCATATGATTTTTCAGGCATGTATCTGTTGGTCATTGTATATCTTCTTGTAGTGTTTTCTTGTAGTGTTACAAAGTAGTATTTGATGCTTTCTTGCACGCTATTTATGTGCTAGGTTTAGTGGTGTGAACAGTGATCACGGAAGTGTTTTTAAGCTGTTGGGAAGACCTGTGCAATGTGTTTCAGTCCGTACTCAAAAGAAGCATTGAGCATAAAGTAATTATTTCATTCTGGTAAACAGTGCTTTGTGAGCACCTCCAGATGTCTGGCAGACCCCACCTGATATCCTTTAAAGAACAGTAAACCAATCTTCAGTTATAAGTTGCCATGGACTCCTTCCCTAGCTACGTTTTTGATTTTCTTACTTTAAAATAATAATTAAAAACCTCTCTTTTATATTTCACTGCAATTTTAGTTGTATTTTTGATTCTGTAGGTCCTTTCTTTTATTCTGTTTTTGCTTCTGTAGGTCTTACGTATGCCTGATTTTGAGTAACGAGAATGTTCATGCACAAAAATTGTCAGAATTAGAAATTTCAGTATATACTGAATTTTTATTCAGCTACTGGATAGTTTATATTGTGGAGCAATCTGTATCAATGGCTGATTTTTTTTTCCTAATTTTAATGGCATTTCCTCCAGGCGACTCAATAACAATGAATTTTCCGTCCTGGAAGCTACTGGCATCTTTAAGAAGCTTCCTCAGCTGCGTAAAATGTAAGTTCAGCTTCAGTGCCCTGGTCTATTCGCATAGTGTGTTAGTTCCTTGCTGTGTTTCTCCACCTTTGTTAGTTCACATCTATCAGAGATTCAGTACATTGTAATCAGAAATCAAGAATGGGTTTAAATTAGTCGCTGAAGTGGATCTGAGTTGGCAGCTGTTCTCCATGGGACGAGGCGCTGCTGGGGACGGCTTCTCGCGCTGCCCAGCTCCGGCAGCCTTGGCTCAGCCTTCAGGCAGCTGGCCGGTTATGCGGCGCAGCAGGGAGCTCGCAGCGTAAGCTGCTCCAAGCGTAAGCTGTTCCAGCCATCTTGTCTTAACTTCCTATGCTACTCCCTAACCAGGCAGTTTTGCCTCTTTCAGGACGTTCAAGACCTGCCTATGACTTTGTGCTTCATTAAGCTGTCGTTAATTAAGGTGAAAATCAAAATGAAATGATTGAAAGGAAAAAAATGGTTTGATAGCTCATGAACGTAAATCCGTGTATACTGTTCGTGTTCTAAGAGGAGTTTATAATCTTGCATAATTAAAAATAAACCTGCAAAGAGCTTTTTTTATCATACGTGAAAGAGAGACACTCCAGAGAAAAAAGAAAGATCACTTAGTTGTATTTAGTGACTTTCTACTCAGGCTCTTCAGGATTAAGCGCAAACATAAATAGTGACACACAGTAAGTGAAGTAAAAATAGATCAGATCAATGAAAATGATGTGCTGCTTTTTGAATGTAGTTGCCAAGTTACTAACACTTGTAAAAATGCAATCTACGTTACTAGTGACCAAAAGCAATCGCTGTCCGAAAGGGAGCAGTGCTATTGTGTAAATTACTTGGTAGCTTTATCCATATCCTTGTTGGCAGGTGTCACGATCACAATCAGTTAAATCCTTATTACCAATTTTTTGAGTCACTAGGCCAAAGATGAAAAACACTTTTCATTTATCCTGTCCACTTGAGTACACCTTGCTGCTTTAGGTCTGGGTTGAGATGTTTAGGACAAGAAAGTAGGCATGTCTGACCCGGCAGTGTACTGTGCTGTACGGTAGATACCTAGTTTTCTTCATTCCTCGAGAATCTCAGATTAGCACTTTTCACAACCACAGAATACCTTTGAAAAAAATAAAATACCTGAAGTAACACCCACCCCCCCACCCCTCTATGTCAGTTCTTCACACTTAAGAAAAACAGACAAAAAGGAACATAACTGTCAGTAATTATGTATTTTCAGACCATAAAGCTAGAGTAGCGAAGGAGCCATGTCATCTAAAGTTAGTTTATCTGTGGCTTTTCAGTTGAGAAGGAAGTATTCAAGACAAAACAAAAAGGGAGAATATTGATTTCCTTTTCTTTTCCCTAATCTTTGATAGTAAAGTGTAGCTGTTTGCTGCAACCCCCAAGAGTTAAGAAATTTGGGCAATTGAGGAGGAGCAAAATTGAGAAAATGTTAATGAAAAGTTAACATTTTTAGTAATACTGCCCCATTAGTTCCTAATACAGTTCTCAGTTGTTAAAACATTCTTCATGTTAGAGAATAAGATGACTGGTGAAGCATGACTGGAAACCGGAGAGGTGGTGATGCTACAGAGACACGAATATGAGTGAATTCAGTATTTCTTTAGAGCTCGTGTTTCTTCTGGAGGTTCAAAGAGGTGCAAAGGTCCTTCTGCACAGATGACATTGAAAGACTGGGGCCTAAACGTTTAACTGATTTGGTGATTCATCAGTAATAAAGTAAATTTATTCGCTGCATCATTGATTAGCTGTACAACATGAATCCATAAAACATCCCTGTGAGGTGGATGAAGTAATACCCATTTTACACAAGGAATAAATAAGATATTAGGAAACTAAGGGCTTGCCACACAAAAGTCAGTTGAAATTAGAAATAATGAGTTTCTTGCTCCCAGGATTGTGCTGCATTGTGTAGCTCATAGTTGAAGAGCTCCACTGTGAAACTAAATGAAAGTAGTGATTGTACCCGTCATCACAGGCAAGGTATATATTGAATTACAGCTAGGCTAGAAATGAGTAGTCAGCACTCAGATGAAACCACAACGCCGTTGTTTTCTGTGTCTCAGATAACGCTACCAATTAATTCTGGCAGGTGTATTGTATGAATTTTTATCCTAACAAATAAACAATATCTTTATAATTTGAACAATTAAAATGCTGTTCTAGAAACTTTATCAGATAGTGTTTTCTTCCCAAAATCATTAATTCCATCAAATAAAAAGCTTTTAGCTTCAACTCATTTTACATTGTCTCAGAACATTTAAGAGCTTTGTAAAAATCACTGGTGTATTATAACTGCTTAATGTTTAGATATATACTTACTGCTTTAAATAACATTTAACTGTAGTAAAGGTGAATACAGTTATCTGAACCAAGTAAAACAAAAGGAGACAAAAATACCAAAAAAGTCTTTAAAGACAATGTGTATTGTTGAGTATATATGCTTATTATATATATAGTATGGATTCTACTCAGTTGAGATGTAATTCCAACTTTTCAACCATAAAGACTAAGTATTTTGGCAGTATTTTTAGGACATTTTCCCATATTTTTATCTTCTTTGCATGCAATTACAGATAAATGAACTATAAACTTATAACTTATAAACTCTCTTTTTTTACTAAAGTCATAAATGATTAATATTTTATTTACTGCTTACATTCACACATTTCATTTACATGTGTTGCTGTTTATACTGTTTGCTTATATTTGTGTCTACTGAGATGAATTACAGAAATTAAAGTGGTAAGCAATAGTTATGGTAGTCATATAGCGTCATTTTCTTATTAATTCATCTAACAACGACACAAAGAATGAAAATGTGAAAAATATATAGCTTCACTGATAAGATTCAGAATTTTTTTTATGAAAACAGGTTTTTATGTGGCAGCATCATGTACTGGATTCCTGCAATTGGTTAGACAAAACACTTCCAAAGGTTTCTTTAGAAAACTTAATTTCTGTGGACAGGGCATTGACTTTGACTTTTATTTGTTTTATTGAACAACATATTCATTACTTTTACACGATGAGTCAATAGCTCAAAAGCTATGCAATCCACAGCATTTAATGGTTAATTATTTAGGGTATTTAAAAAAGAAAACATATTTTTCTTTAATTTTGTTTCCATGAATGTGTAATAGAAATCTGAGCAATAACAAGATTACGGATATCGAAGAAGGAGCATTTGATGGAGCCTCTGGTGTGAATGAATTATTACTCACAAGTAATCGTTTGGAAAGTGTTCGACACAAAATGTTCAAAGGACTAGAAAGTCTCAAAACACTGTAAGTGTAATTATTAGAGTATTTTTATTGTTCCTATCTGTCAGATTTGTTTATTAAGCAATATCCTACCTGTCCTGAAAACCTAAATTTTGAAGGATTAGCTAGGGAAGATTCAAGCATATTCTAGTTTTTTTTTTTTTTTTTCCTATTTTATACAAAAGTTTTCATAAATTATGAATTTATTGGTTATTAATTATGGATATAATCAAGCTGAAATTCTTCATTGTGGTTACTGGACCGCAGAAATCTTCCCATTCAGAAAAGATGTTTATACCTTCTACAGCTACTTGGGCTTCTTTGGAGAGGTAATCTTTCTCAACAGCAGACCAGGCCAAAGATAAATGGTCTCTGGGGCTTCATCTCCAAAGACTTCAGGCATTTTTAATAAATCAGGCCTATCACTTTTAACTTTGTTTACATTTATAACTGCTAAAATTGTTACATGCAGCTATTCTTAGGCAAGAAAATGGAAGAAAATTAATCATTTATTGGTAGGTAGAAAACCAGTGATCTTCAAAGCTCTTTTGTTTTACTTACAGAAGTATGAGAGATTTTAGAATAGGTTTTTCTTGCTTAATATTCTGAAAATTTTACTAGATTTTAGAATCATGCTGAGGAGTCAAGCTAGCCTAATTGCATTTATTTGAAAGACGTTTTGAGATGTGATAGAAGTGCTTTCTACCATTTATCATAAGAAAATTCACGTTGGAAGGGACCTCTGTAGTTCATCTAGTACAGCCTTCTGCTCAATGTAAATAGCAGTTCTGGAGTCATTTAGAATTTGAAGTGTAAACTGTGAAGTGTCACCAAAACATGAAAGTAGTCAACCTACCATGTAAATTTGTAATTTGTTTAAGAAAAAAAGAAATAGGGCTTTTACAAGAAAAGGAGAAACAAAAATTTAACTACTACTGTCATTTGAACTGTCAGGCTTCTGAAATATTCACATTGGCAGAAATACTGAAGCAGTAGAGATTTAAAAATATGTTACCTTAAATTTTTTCTGTACCCTCTAGTATAGTGTACATTCTATGATATAAATGATCAAATTAAATATTCATAGGTACATTTTTTAATACTAACCTATTTGCCAAAATGCACAGGGGAGGTGTGAGAGAGCATATGTTGTTTATGATTAATGACATTTAGTCAGTAGAAAATGTTTTTAATACAAAATGATATTGAAATGTTTAGCCAGCTGTAAACTGGTAAAAGTTAATCCTTTCTTTCTCAGGATGCTAAGAAGCAATCGCATAAGCTGTGTAGGAAACGATAGCTTCACAGGACTAAGTTCTGTCCGTTTGTTGTCGTTATATGACAACCAGATTACTACCGTTGCGCCAGGCTCCTTTGATACACTTCATTCGCTCTCTACGTTGTAAGTTATCTTCATATTTTAGCTTATCCATATTTAAATCTCCAAGATTTTTGTGGCATTTCTATTAAAGACTTGTCATATAATTTTGCAGTATAACTAATTGTCAAAGGGGAAACATGAGTGTATAAAGGGATGTTTGTAAAGTTTCTTTGCTGAATCACCTTGAATGCATGAAGAATATGTTTTTTTGCTGCCCTTTGCTGTGAACTTTAGATTGGCCTCTGGAAGTGTCTGAGAGGGTAAACAAAAAGTCCTGCTAGTCCTCCTAGCAGAAGCCCATTTATCTGAATCAGGGTAGAAACCCATGCTTGAGTTCACATTGTGTGATCATAGGTAGTCTGTTTGCCATGTTGTCTTTCTTTTTGCACTGTGTAGTCTGACTATTATCTTGAAATGGCTAGGCTTAAGGAACTTAATTCCTATTTGTTTTATAGTGAAGCTTTAGTCTCATTTTCTATAAAAAGAAGCATCTTCCTCCCAACTGCCCTTTTTTTTGGATGTGCTATAATTTGAGGGAAGGGAAAATGGGGAGAGAAGCTGCCACTCAGATTGCTGAAGAAATGTGCTTTGCAGGTAGCATCATTCAGGAAAGTACTTAATTCCCATTCTACATAAAAAGTGACACTTTGCACCAAGTGACTAATTTGTGCGTATTAAAGATGGCATGTTTATAAATAATGGAATTGTCAATAGGTTTGTGCTGAAGTAAGGAGATGCCAAAAGTACTGAGACTTCTAGAAGCAAATTCATTTTTATAACTGGCATGTAATCAACTTAGCTGTCAGTTTAGATAGGAAACTTATTCTCAAGAGCAAATAAAAGATGGAAATCTTGAGATGACAAATTAATGGAATAGCTGTTGTCAGGTTAAAGCTAATAATGTAAAGTAATCGGCCTTCATCTCTATATGAAATTATTGCATTATCAGTATATAGTGGCTTGACAACAAGTCAGGTCTTTGACAGTTTTAAATTATTTCTAAATGAGCTATATCAAGATTCACTGCACAGAGTCTAAATTACAGCTTTCACCTATGGTTTGTACACAGTATTGTTTGAAGAACAGTATTTAAGCTTAGCTTTGTGAAAATACGAATAGAATACTTAGACTGAAAAAGTTGTATCATTGGAAGTAAATTTTCATGTGGTTCTCAGAAACCTCTTGGCCAATCCCTTCAACTGTAACTGCCATCTCGCGTGGCTTGGAGATTGGTTAAGGAAGAAACGCATCGTAACGGGAAACCCTCGCTGTCAAAAACCCTACTTCCTTAAGGAGATTCCTATCCAGGATGTGGCAATTCAGGATTTTACATGTGATGATGGTAAGAAGATGAATAGCTGAGCTTTTAAAACTTCAGTTTTCATATGCATAACTGCATGATTCCAAGGTGTTATTCTTTAAACTGAGAATTCTTTAAATCTCTTGTACATCTACGCTCCCTGCTAGGTAACTCTGTCAGCTTAGAACTCCTTCACCCTCTTTTGGAATATTAGCAAGCACACAGCTATGTATACATGTTTTCAAGAGTGTTTATTCCCTAACTGTAGTCATTCTGTAAATTAGTATTTAGAAATAATATGGAGATTAAAATCGTTGATCAAATGTTGTAGTTTGGATGAGAATATTTCCAAATGCTGATGCTTGAATGAAATACTCTTTGGAGCTCTGTGGCTAAATACCACACCATTTTGCTCAAACGATGATGTAGTGAATGTCAGAATTCCCCTCAGCACCTAGGTAAGACAGAAGTTGTCATTTTTCGTCTCATGCATGCTTTCATTTCCAGTAATATGTTTATCATTTTTCAAGGATGTAACTTTTCTTTAAAGAGACTACATTTGTTTATTTTTAATTATTCATGAATTTTGACAATCGGTCAAAATTATTGTATTTCATTTTAAGATTTGTGGTCTTTCTTTAATGACCGTTTTCTGAATAATAGAGTTTTTACCTAGTAACACGGCATTGTACTAAATAACAGGGTGTCATTTGAAATCTAAGTTCTCCAGTCAATAATTACCGAGATGATGTAAAGATTTCCATCCATAGAGGTATATGTAATATGGAAATTTCATATTGGCGTACAGGAATCAAATGTGGAATATTATTGCTAATTCTGAATATCATTTGCATGGTAAGCTTCACATCTGTTTGTTTTAATTAACAGGAAACGATGACAATAGCTGCTCTCCACTGTCCCGCTGTCCTGCAGAATGTACTTGTCTAGACACAGTAGTTCGCTGCAGCAACAAAGGCCTAAAAGCTTTGCCTAAAGGCATCCCAAAAGATGTAACTGAACTGTAAGTGACATGTGCTTTTCCCTTTCATAAAAATCAGTGGCAAAATTATGTTATCAGATTCAGGAATGAGATGAGGAGAAAGTGTGCAAAGTGAAGAACAGACTTTAGTGGATCAGTGGGATCTAATGATATACTGCTTTATAGATATAAAGACTTGTAGAGTAAGCAAGGAATCTGAGGTTATATTTGAATTAACATGTGCTCTGTAAGTCCTAAAAAGAAAAATAAAAATGTTCTTTTCCTGCAAACTTTTAAAAATAAGTAAAATTGAAATCCCACTCAGAGTTTGTAACCCAAATACTGAACCATCATATTACAATGCATTAAAATATGCGGAAAGGTGAAGATGATTAATCTATTTTCATTGTTCTGGTAGGGAGGAAAGAAGGAGTTAAATTACATTAAAAAGCAAAAGAAAACAAGCTGTTGGTGTGTGTGCTTATTTCAGTAATTATCATGGTCATATGATGCCATAGAAAGCCAGATTGTTTTTTATGTAGGCAGTCCTACAAGATCTAGGACATTTTATTAATCTCTTGTGTCACAATGTGACAAAATTGGAAAAACAGTATAGATTGTATTTTATGCAAAGACATGATTTGAGTATGCAGATGGACACTGAACTTGATAATTGAAAAAAGAAAAAACAAGAAGATAATAATGGAATTTGAAGATAATAATGAAGCTAATTATTTGAGGATGATAATGGAATAATGAATCAGGCATTTGTGCATTATCAAGGGGAAAATATAAACACAAAATTTGGCATAATGATCCATTTTGAATCTTGATCATATATGTTTCAAGACCGAAAGAAATATCTGGAAATTATTGACAGGAAAGTATATTTATTTTACTGTCATCTCCTTGTGTTACAAATGGCAAGTGTTTAATATTAAAGTTAATAATGTTTAATAATGACTGATGAATGCTTTCTTCAGAAGATATCATAAATGCGTATTTTAAGTCACTAGAACTGGTTTATTGTTTTAGCATTTGGTAGTATTGAGAAGATTCTGAAATGTTCATCACTACTTTGGTGCCTAAAAGAATAGCATCCAAAAGACTTTGGTCATTAACAAAGATAAATTAGTAAGAATCTGAATTAACATACAGCTGTATGTGATGTATAGTTATCTATAGGCTGTATGTATACAATCTGTAACTTATTTTATTAGTTTTTCTATTAAGTAACTTAAACATACTTTACCTTAATAAACAAAATTTGACAACTTAAGGAGAGCAATGCAATGTAGGACTATGCAGCTAAAGAGAGACTTTTAGAAGAGCAAGTGGAACACTAACTGTGACTGAAAACTCATTTGTGTACAATTTTCTATGCCTTAATTAGTGTCTAAGCATGCAATTTAGCATATTTTTCAAAAGGATAATGGAGGCAGTTCCTGTTAGCAGTTGCATACTGATTGATTCTCCATGTTCATTAGCATGTGTAATCCTTCAAAGATGTATTCCTCTTGTGTTTTATAAAATATCTTAGTAGTTGCTTTGTTTGAACAAGCATTTTCTTCTAAAATGTGAAGCTAAAACAGCATACCCCTATTTATCTATTTGATGAAATAATTTTATCAGAGTATTTATTCCTTCAAAATGTTTTTGTTGAAATAATTAAGTGCAAGAGTCCCTGATCTATTCACCACCATTTATGTAATGCTGTTAATTTCAGTGGCTTACAATATAAACATAAGACTTGTTCAGATACAAGTACTGGATTTGGCAAGCAGCCATAAGGCGTGAGGGCAGGGGTAGGAGAGTGGGAGGAGGGCTTTGCTCATATATAGATACTTACGTCTTTTGATTTTGACTATTTTGAATAAAAGTTTAGCTGTGTTTCAGCGCATCCGTTTAGTCAAGACAAAGGATTGCAAAGAGGATGTTGCAGAATACTTAAAGACATTAAGCTGTAAATTCACCTAAGAATGTCTCTAGCCAGGGCTGCTCTTAACTCAAGTGTTTTCCAAGCATTTGGATGGCTAAAGTGTTGTCTTGGTACAGTCATAATGAGATGGTAGTTTTTACCTGCTTTCTGGGGCGAGCCAAGTCACACCACCATCAGCAACTCACCAGCTGATCTTTATCTTTCTGCCCATATTTGCTCAGTTGCAGACAATCCAGTAAATTCAGCACTTCCTACCATCTCTGAAATACTTGCTCTTCCGCTTGCACAATGAGTCACTTTGTCAGCAAGTGGCTGCCTATCGGCAGCTGTTTAGGCAAGGACTGTTAGGTTCATTTGCCTGTAACTGAGGAGTGGAGACAGTTTGATGGCTCTGCCCCTGTCTAACACAACAGATGAGTAAGTCTGTTTTAAGAATTACGAGCATGGAAGAAGACCAAGCGATATAACACAGATGCTGAGACGCAGAAACAGTTTAACTTTTTGTAGTAAAGTAAGAGTTACTGCTTACTGCCTTTAGTCCCTAACATACTACATAGAAACAGGATTCCTTCTTCTGTCATGCTAGATATCTCATGACAGATACAGGGAGAAATTGGGGAAGGTGACGTGACTTACAGGCATGATAAATGAGTTTACCATTGGAGCTGGGACCAGCTCATACTGATGCTACTGTAAAGGACTACCCTTAAATGTCAAGTTGTGTTTCTATTTAGGATAGTTCAAAGTAATAATATCTGATATAATAGAACTGGATCTTACGCTACAGGTCCTCAGTCATGATCCTAAAAAAGAGAATTTGTAAGCAAAGGTTCTTATAAAACTGAAATACTGTTTATTCATTCGTAATTAACTTTTGCTTTACTGTTATTTTCTAAAATTAGTGGATGAATGCTGGTGTTTTAGTGAAAAAAATAATGCTATATATTTTATTTTTCTTCTCTAGTTATTTGGATGGAAATCAATTTACCCTTGTTCCAAAAGAACTTTCTAACTACAAGCATTTAACGCTTATGTAAGTAGTTTCAGAGAAACATTATCTGCGGGAATGATTAAAATAAAATGCTATTCCATTTACCTTTTTTTAGCTACAAAAAAAATCATAAATTGTAGTGGACCTTTTAGAAAATATAATACCCAAGCACAATTTGTAATTGGGGCTATTTTATTCCACTGATCATATCTAACATATAATATACTGAGTCACATTTTGTGAACAGGGATATTTCATTCCAGTGCACACACACATCACAAAGTAAATAGGGAGAAATTACAGTTAACCTGAAAAGTGATGCAGGACCTTACAAAATATGTATGAGAGAGCATATTGCAGTATCTTGTTACAAAAATCCATAAAGGCACTAATTTTAGTTTAGATTTCAGTTTTGACATAAAGGTTCTGTTGTGTGCTTCACATAATAGCACATACCGCTGCTGTGATACTTTAATGGAACCCCTTTTGTTTCCCCCACAATATATATATGGTTTAATGTTTGAAGAAGAGAGCTTGTGTCAAACTTCTCACTCCCAGCTCTGCTGCTGACTCACTGTGTGATTTAAGGCAAATCACAAGCTGCTCTATAATTTATTATCTGTACTTCATGAGTTAGTCGAGTGTGATTTCTGTACCTTGTAAGAGCACAGTGAGACCAACAGGAAGACTGTCGGAGCAAATGATTGTAGTTCCTTGGCCATTGTTAGCCCTATAAACCCTTACACCCGTGAGGATGAATGACATAGCGTTCTGAAAGCACTTTGTGGTTAGTTATAGTCAAAATAAAAAGTGGAGGAGGATTAGAAAGCAACTTAAATTTTTTTGACTGGGCTTAGAGCTTTACTGCAAAAAATAAAAATAGTTCAAAATTCAAAAACAAAATCTTGATTTCCTTTATTTATCTCATGCTGGAAAAAAAGCGGTCGTTATAACAAATGTAGAGAAGAGAGATTTCCCAAACTTTTCAAATCTAGAAATAGTATATAGCATAGACGCTATAGGGAGCCTTTGTGGATTTGTGCAGGGAAGTTATGCGAGATCTAACTTGCAGCAGAGAACTGCATACTTTGTAACCTCAGTACCAGGAACATGCATGTAGATTGAACCATGTGCAACAGCAGTACGGAGAAGACTGGGTATCTCTCTGGAGTTTAGGTTAATTACAGTCATAGCTACAAGGTCTCCTTGAAGATCAGCAAGAATGATTTGGGTCCTCCTAGTTGTTTTTTCACAAACATAGCCTGAAGCTGGCTAACTTTGCCTCCCAATCAGAAAATGCACATACATTATTTGACATACAGCTGTAATGCAGTAAATTAAAGTTGAACAGTAAATAAAATATAAATATGCATGTTTTTCGTGTCTATTTGTCAGATTTGTGGGGACACATTATTGTAATCTTTTCTCTATGTATCCTCATACTGCTTTTATGAAGTTGTGAATATTCCCCAGCTGCATTTGGAAAACCAAAATGGAAAGAGACTGAGCAAATTTCTTCTGTGGTCAAACAAGGAATTACGTATAAGTCTCCCGAGCTGCAGAATAACATGCAGCATCCTTTATTTGTTCCTTTTTCTTTCTATTATGGATAAATTTCATGCTATTTTATTTCACTAATGTGTTGATTATTATAAGTCAGTAGTCTTACATTTTTTCATGAGATTTCAGGGAAA